TAGGTTAGGTTAGGTTATCGGGTTTTGTTCAAGTGACCATCCTCTTTCGATCCCCCACCTCCACACGCTTGAAAATAGTTTTTTTATTGAATTTTATTTGAATTATAGTGTATGAAAATTGTCAAAATAATCAACTTTCAACCCCCATAACTTTTTATGGGGGTGAGACCGCCACGAACTTTTTATGGTACAGTGGTGGGGGAAACCTTCTCTTTCGATCCCACCACCTTTCGGGGGTGGGGGTCATCATCTAGACATTTACCCAATTCTTAAGTTTACAACTCAGGTGTTTGTAAATTTCGTTCATGTTCCTTAATTCGTTCATCCAGTGAACGGTCTGCTTTCCCAAAGTATATTTGTTATAACAGCAAATAGATTACAAGTTTCGAGTTTGTGTTTATTAAAGCGTAGGCAAAAATGGGACACATCGCTGGAATCCCTGGTTATAAAATGAGTTTGATCGAGATTTTTTTTTCTAATTTTCGAATTTTACTTCTGTTCGAGGAGCTCGTAAAACTGACATATTACCATCTTGTATTTTTACCACATTGTAAACAGCTAAAAATAAAAGTAGATATGAAATGTAGTTTATGGATTTTAAAATTTCATTGACATGAAAAGTAATAACTCTATCGATATTTGTTTTTCATCTCGGGGTTATTTCTATTCTAAGGGCATAATTCTGCTATTTACGAATGTGTTCGATCGATGTTTAACCACAATTTCATAAGTCAATAGAAAATTTACTGTAATAAAGAGGAAATTGCGAGGTATATTGTTTATTTTACTTTTTCTTTGTTCTTCGCGAATTGTTTACCCATTTGAACATATTGTTAAAGCAGTCAATCGTATGGAAAAGTTTCAATATTACACAAGTCCCAGTTCTAATATGTTTACTGAAAGAAATCTGGAGTTTTATTTTTACCTGTCGCAAATATTTAATGAGCCCACGTAGGTAGCATAAAATAACGTTGCATAAACAAATTAACTCTTTAAATATTGCTGTACAAATAGATGCATGAGCTGGTATTATGGGCTTCGAATTGTGTGGTACGGGGACATCATCGTGTTTTTATTCCGAACTCCATAATGCCAAAAACTCAAAAATTGTTTAGCTACAAGAAGAGAAGAGTTGAAATTTGTTTTACAAATAACTATCATTTTTGAAGTGAAACTTCTTTACGCACGGTAGGGTAAGTTCGTTTCATGCGAGTTGCTATGTAACGAAATCATGCAACGCATTTCCCCAGCTGTCGGTCCCTATTTATACTTAGATCTTTAAAACTACGCAACGGATTTTAATGCGGTTTTTTTTAATAGATAGAGTAATTCAAGAGAAAGGTTTATATGTATAATACATGTAAAATATAGTAGAGAAACACTGATAATTTTAGAGGTTTGTAATGTGATGTCGTAAATAAACACATTTTTTTGCGCTTACATTGCAAATGCTGGCTGAACCCTACGAGATAGATCAAAATAATATACTACAGTATTGTACACCTTAAAAAGGTCTACAAAAAATCCCGCAATGGTATATGTCTATCTCTTAGGGATAACCCACAATAATCATTTTTTATCCTTTACTTTTTACTAGAAATAATGGCTTATTTACGAAGCGATGTTAAGCAATACAACATTATTCCTTATCCAATTAAGTACTTTTAAATACATTGTGCATTTAATATAGATCATTATGGCCCTTTACAGCATGTAATTTAAATTAATATTTTCGAAGATATTACAGACTTAAAATGCAGGGACATAGCGGTTGCGGCGATACCGGCCGGTTTGTATTGTCTAATGACAAAAAATCTGTGATTGTTGTATATAAAGACATTCTATAATATATTTAGTATCAGCATTGCACCCGTGCGAAGCATAGTGTACAAATAATACCATTAAACCAATTCCTTAACCCCCATCCCGG